TGGAAAGAAAAAAGGAATTTATAACTACATGTAAAAGACTAAAATGTAGACGTAACAAAATTCCCCTAAATATGGTGGCATCGTCACAGAGTAAGACATGGAAAACGAAGCGCTGCAAGCAAATGCTCTTTTATTGAACAACAGCAGCAGAGGAGAACAGCACTGCTGACATGGCCAAAATAGCAGGCAGGTCACTTCTGACCATACAGCCCTCCCTGATGGTCGGCATTAACACTGCACAAAATCTCCCACAACTGGACACAGAATGACACAATTAACATATTTATACATCTGCCCCACAGAGTTCAGGCAGCGTCCCTGGGGTGCGCGGGCACTTTCCGAAACCCCTACTCTCCCTTCTCTCCACCATCCCGGTCAACACACATGCCTCCTCAACCACACATGCCCCTAGTTCTCTCCCAGAGGATTGTTCTCTCCCTGGCTCACCGCAGAGGAGAGACTGAGCACTGCATCCTCCTCCCTAGGCACAGCACAATTTCTTGCCTCAGTTATGACAGCTGGAAGGCCAGCTGGTGTGGCAAGCTGCACATCCCATGCACAGCCCAGCTCCTCTGGCAAAAGTGCACCTGTGCCAACTCTATCCATGCTGCCTTCCCAAATGCCGGATACACCTGCCAAACCACCTCATTTAGCTCTGCCACCTGCTTCTGCAGTTTATCTTATCATATCTCATCCTCACACATTGCTATCAAATAAGGGTGATTCCACAACTGGAGTGACATTTGTGCTCTATTTACAAATATGTATGTAAAGGTAAAAGACATTTTAAACGCAGGTAAAGTGCCCTTCACAATAACCTATGTGCATCTTTCAGATAAATGACTTAAAATATGAGTAATATCTAACTATAGCACTTCCAAAATAGCATTTTGCTGCCCCAGCCCACTATAAATGTTTCAACCTGCGATAATCTTTAAAATTGTTCAGAAATCATATTTTTGCATTAATATGTGAATCAATTTAACATCTCATGCTTGAAACTTTAAACTATTATAGGTCATGAAATACCAGAATACACTCACTGCCATCTTATCTGGAACATTCCAATGGTCACATATTCATTATATTATAGATTATAGGGAAAAAAAAGTTCTCATCAACACTTTTACTTTTTGTTTTCAACAATATTGTGATTTTGACTGACGAGGTCACCTTGAAAGTTCCACCCTGATACCCAAATTCTGGACTGAAAGTGAAATATTTCAGTAGAAAATAAGTCAGTAGAAAGTTCTTTATATCCTCATTCTATTAGCATGGATGCTAGTTAACCATATAAACATTTTCTAAGGCACTTATCCTCCTGGGTCGCAGAGCGTGCTGGAGCCTATCCCAGGGCTCATCGGGCGGAAGGCAGGAAACACCCTGAACAGGTCACCACAGGGCAAACACACAGACATACATTCACCAACCTTGTGACCATGTAAAACTGAGATATTGTTCCTGAGATGAGTTGCACATTTTTTGAACGGTCAAATGTATGTTTTATTAGATTCAATGTTGAACAATGATAAATAAATAATATTTATAAATAAATGAAGCTTAAAGGGCTCATCATGTATAATACTTGATCAGGTTCAAAGAATAAGAGGAAATTTGTGAATTTTGTGAATATTTGTCTCAAAATCTTCTTAGATGTGTAAGTCAGCAGTGCTCATCTGGCAGAGCAGCTTTATTGCAGGCCACCTTCTCCCTGCCTCATTATCAACACCGCCATGGAAATCTGGCCATGCGCTGTAATAAGGCCCTTCCTTTTTCATGTAACGGTACAGAAGCCTGAGACATTTCAGAAATGCTATCGGTGTTCTGCACTGACCGATTTTCATACATTACTGCTGGTGTGTGATCCGTGACCCCAGCGTGTAATTACTTCAACATTTCGTGTTTGCGACCACAGATAAGAGCTTTTTTAAGCTTATCAAACCAAAAGCCTTCCAGTACATGAAAAAGGAAGGGCCTTATTACAGCGCATGGCCAGATTTCCATGGCGGTGTTGTTAGTGAGGTGGGGAGAAAGTGGCCTGCAATAAAGCTGTTTTGCCAGATGAGCACTGCTGACTTACACAATTTAAGAAGACTTTGAGACAAATATTCACAAAATTGTAATGGATCGGCTCAGACGCCTTGTTGCTGTGGAAGGCCTGAACTGCCAATCAAATGGTACAATTGATCATATTTACACTGCAAAACGCTTCTCACAAGTGCAGGCCTGAACAGTTTCATAAAGAACCTGAGCATTTTTTTCCATTGTGTGGTTTGACCTGACATCTTGTGGTTAAAGCTAATCACTACATGCTAGGACTATTCAATCATGACTGTGGGCCTGCAGTGTTTATAAGATTATCTATATTAGGTTAAAGAGCAGCTTTCAAACAGTTCAAACAGTTTAACCCTTTGAACGCTAGGCTTGTTATTCAAGTTCAGTAAATACTATTTATTATTTAGTAGCTACTATGAAACCATGTTAAGAGAGTGAGGAAGTGTATACCCACAAATGGGCCCTTAGGATTTAGGGGGAAATCCGGCCAAAATTAAAAATCTAACTATTACTACTTCTGTTGTAAACATGTCTATTTGCCTCCTACAGTAGTGCCACAGTAAAGAAAGTTTAAAGACTAGGAAAACCCCCTTCAGATGATGTATCTTGAAGGTGGGAGACAATTAAAAGACTACCAGAGCTTTGTAGCAGACTCTTTGAAAGGTATTTTTGTTTTCCACTTGCTGGTTAGAAAAACAGACACCACTGCATGGCCAAAAGTTTGTGGACAACTGACGACGCCCTCTATATGAGCTTGCTGGACATTCTATTCCAAAACCATAGGCATTGATTCAGAGTTAGCCGCTCCTTTGTGGCCATAACAGCCTCCATTCTTCTGGGTAGACTTTTTGAAGATTTTGAAGTGTGTCTGTGGTAATTTGTGCCCATTCAGTTAAAAGAGCATTTGTAAAGTACTGATGTTGGATAAGAAGGCCTGGCTCGCAATTGGCATTCCAGTTCATCCCAAAGGTGTTCAGTGGGGTTGATGTCAGGGCTCTGTGCAGGCCACTGGAGTTCCTCCACACCAAACTCATCTAACCATGTCTTTCTGGACCTCACTTTGTGCAGAGGGAATGTCATAATGGAACAGACTGTTACTACAAAGTTGGAAGCAAGTAATTGTCTAAAATGTCTCTGTTTTCTATAGCATTAGCATTACCCTTCACTGGAACTAAGAGGCCGAGCCCACCGACCATTATCCCTCCCCCACCAAACTTCAGTAGCGTTCTCCTGACATCTGCCAAACCCAGAATTATCCATCAGACTACTAGATAGTAAAGAATGATTCGTCACTACAGAGAAAACATTCCCACTGTTCCAGAGTCATGTGGCGGCGTGCTTTACACCACTCCAGTCGACGCTTGGCATTGCACATAGTGATATTAGGCTTGAGTGCAGCTGCTCAGCCATGGAAACCCATTTCATGATTCTGATGCACAAGTCTTGAGCTGATGTTGCTTCCAGAGGCGGTTTGGAACTGTAGAGAGTGACTACACTAGCAGTCCGGAATTCTTTATTATATGATTCTTTATTGTTTACGGTATTGTGTATTATAATGAGGCAACACAAATACCAAACCATGAATTCCTAAAATGCTAGTTTTAGGTTTAAATGCCCCTCTTAGGGTTAAACCTGACATTTAAGCCTATATACTATTCTATTCTATGTAAAATTAAGGCTCATTTACACGTTGCTGTAGACCAGTAATGATTAGCACTACGGGATTTAAGGCTACACTTGTTTGTTGCTTTGCCGGTGCTGAACTCTTAGCCTGCGCACACCTCCCTCCAAACCCATCCCAGGCTCATATGCTTCAGTTTAAGGGTGAGGAGAGACAAGAGGAGGAGGAAGGAAACTACTTCCTTGCAAAGCACACACATGGAGCCTCTTTCTAGTGGTCCGCCAGGGTAATGGACCCACGGACACACTGCAGAGCCTCTTCCCCATCTGAGCACGCGTGGTTTCAATTACAACAGGAAATGATAAAACGGCAAGCATCCACAACCCACCGCCGACCACTGCTTTCTCTCCCTCTGTCTCTGTGTCATGTGAAGAACTTCAGCAGCCTTGAAGCAGGCATGGAAGGCAGTGATGGAAGGCAGGCCCAGAGAGAATGTGATGTAGGAAGTTGTGTGTGGGTTTGAAGTGTGCAGGCTGTGTTTGCAGTATATTTAGCAGCAGCGTGAGCCTCAGAACAGAATGTGGCAGTTCAAAAGCCTGATAACACAAGAGAAAGAGCATCAGATGTGTCTCCAGCCTGAAAAGCACTGGAACAGGGACCGCGTAATGGACTCGGAGGGGTCGTTCTACCATTGTGGCATTTTCATTGCATCTAAAGCCATGAATATTTGGCTTATGATTGGAGTAAACCACAGAAAGTTGATGTCTGTGTAGTCTTCATTCGAATCCTAAATCAATCAACAAAAATTATAACTATTTCCAGAATTATTTTTCAAATTCAGTGATTTTTAGTGATGTTCATGACAACATTTGGTGTGTCACACCAAAGAATTCACAGATGTTGAATTATTATTTCTATGTGAAACAAGGTATCGTCTATCCTAGGTTCAAATTATTTTAAACAAATTTATTTTGATAATAAATCTTGCTCATAGTTTTTTGTCAGTGGTGTTACAAAAAAAAAGGTCAAAAAAATAATAATAACCATGAAGATCTTTCTAAACTGCTTCTTGTATGAATATCTGAAAGAAAGTGCATCTCTAAGTCCACAGAAAGTGAAATCTTTTTATGTTTCTGATAAACTTGGCTAAAATACGGACACTTCATGTGTCACCAAATGATCGTATCGTTGGTGTTACTCATGACACATTAAGTGATTTTACAACAGAAATAAAGCACTAACATCAGCTACAACGTAGAACGACCCACATACAGCACCCCGAACAAGACAACTGCACATTTTTCATTTATAAGAATGGTCAAACTCAGAATCTTGATCACATTTATTTTGATGTAAACAATGACCAAGTACAAATAAAAAAAAACTTAATTTTTCCCCATTTAGGACAATTCACTACATAAAAAGTGAACATGCAGTAATGTTTTCACCATATCTAATCATAATTTCCTTTGACCTATACACTGATCTTTACTACCAAACTACACTAACAAATTGTCAATTATAAATGCCAGTTTTCTTCCGAATTTGGTCGGTTCTCAGAGTAATTAATGGATCAGATCATGAATGCCAGCACCCAGCTCCACCCAAACCCACACAGCTGGGACTGGAACCAGGAATCCAAATTTAGGATGATTTAATTTTTGATTTTTAATCTGTGATAAATCTATCACTTCCACAGGCTTTGTTGCTTATTATGAAACTAAATTTTATGAATATTGCCTGTCAACAGCTTACCAACACATCCATAGATTTCCTGCAGATCAGACTTTGTCTAGACAGGATCAGACCATTTTTACAGAAAAAAAGAGCTTAAAAAAAAAAAAGAGATTTAAAGTTCACAACCTACAATTATCTGTTCAGTTACATTCAAATGTAAAAAAAAAAATCAATAAGATGCACCTTTAAATTCCATTTAAAATCATGTGATAAACAACTGGTCCTAGACAATTCACCAGTTGGAGGTAGGGCTACAATTTATTGGCACTTAGGAGCTGATATCTGAGAAGGAGTGGAATCCCTGATTGTAAAAATAACCACAAACATAGTGGGAAGTATAAAAAGAGACTCTTTGTTAATAAATAGTTCCTCCTTAAGGCATCTCAGACACAAATAAACACAAACAAATTAGGAAAAAAAGGGCTACAGTGTCTACTGCATTGGCTCTCAGTGTGTGCTGGACTTATGACTTGGTTTAAATAACCCAATAGGTTTTAAACATGTGCCGAACAACATGAATATTTGGTCAATATATTTGTCAAGCAAATCAATCAATGATGTACTATTGCTTCTGATATCAATTTCCACATGTGCAAATAACTAAATCTGGCTCCAGGCTTTTAGTCCGAGAAGGTCAGCGAGTGTTTCTCCAGTACACGGCAGCAGCGATGAATGCCACGGCAGCAATGATGGACACCGTGCGCCATCTGGACACGCTACGCATAACGCCCTCCTGCAAAACACAGGACAGCACCACCATGAGGTCTGATAAACCATGTGCTGAGAGTTAATGAAGTTCCTTCTTGATTCCACAAATCATCTCCAGCATTATACCCATAAAAGTTCTTTGAAGTATAGATTTTTTATTGCTGTTGTATAATACTACTTCAACTAATTTAACTAGCTAATTTAACTAATGACATAGCTTTTCAGTCTGTATTGATGGCTTCAAGTCTGCAGTTCCGGCTTTTTGTTTTGACATCAAACAATGACAGAAATATACATGATGACACAAAACAAGACAGTATGCACACTAACTTTTCATCAAAACTTGGGAATCATAATTCAGAGGTTAGGAATCAATGTTTTTAATAAAATGTTAAAAATGGTGCAGGTATTAAATGAATTTAATATGATGATATTTCTCTACAGTGTCACACATTTCATCTTATTTGTAGGAAGCTGTGAAAAAAAATGAAGAAATTTAGATATATCCAGAAATATGACCATATATAATTCTATAATGAATGGGAAAGCTACAGGGAGATTCACTTGAAAGAGGTCCCGAATATTCTGCGATAACTCTCACTAGGATGAGGCAATCTGATCGAAACAGCGTGCAATGTGCTCCTCAGTATACAGAGCTTCGAACAAGCCGGGATGACCCTGCGTCGGTGCAATGAGATAGGCGCCGGACAGCCGTCGCGACGTTTAACCTCCATTTGCAACTTCCGGGTGCGTACCCCTCTACCATTTCATGTGTCTGGCAGAAAACGGAGATCACTTCCAGCATTGCATGTAATGCAGTCGATTACACATACATCAAGGTATGTAGTGCATTTTTTTGGTTCAAATTACATCATCCTAACAGGAGTTACAACAGAATATTCAGGGCCTCTTTCAATTGAATCTCCCTGTATTTAAGATTGAAAATGAAGTTATAATTAATAAAATTCAATCCATGCCTCATATTGGAAATGTGGCGATCAAATCTCAAGCAGACAATGCATCAAAGAATTACTGTAAATAGATAATTATGGTATATTATTAATCATTTAATAACATCTTGGTGTAACTTAACATAATGAATATCTTCATTATTTCTTAATGAATAGCTACACTGCATAGGATTTGGCGACCTCTCTGGTGGAAGAACATTTTCTTCACCAAGCAGATGAATCTGATGTTTGCGAGTGTGTTGAAAGAGCATTCATTGAGAACTCGGTCAAAGCTTGGTGAAGGACTTGTCTTCTAAGGATGTGAGTGAATTATCTAATATCATTAGATCTTCATCAGTATATGCTGATTTTGCATCTGAGATCAAAACATCAAGTCAGATATTCTTTTTAAGTCTGCATGTGACCTGACCCAACGCTTCTGACCTTTAAATTACTGTTTCACACACACACACCACATTTTGGCATGTTTGATTTCTTCTGACTGAAATGAACTGAAATTTTAGAATGTGCACTTTTGAGAGAAAAATCTCCGCTTGTTTCACTAAAGCGACGAGTGAGAAATAATTCACCACCATCCTTTTAATATCGCCTGTAATAAGTGACTTCTAAAGGTTAGCATACTGTACTTGATAAGAGGATTTTTGCCTATGTTTGCATAAGAGAGGAAGCTCTTTCAGGCTCGGCACCTGCCGCTGTCATTTCTAACAAATGTATGAAGTAGTGGCCCCTTGCAAAAAAGCATGTTGCAAATGCTTTCAGACTTTTCTTTCTCCCGTATGTGGTCTCTCCACCACAGACATGGTGATGTTAACATCTGTGGGCCTGGCTTACCATGATGAATGCAAAGTTGTTGATGTTTTAATGTGAAGTGAGCCCTGCTTTAAGCAGATCTGTGATGCTATAAAAATAACTACAACCATTGATCTTCAGTTCAAAAAACATTCTCAGCTGGAGCTGCACAATACATCATTTGTTAATGGACATCATAATGCTGGCTTTTTTATTAGTGGTATCACAGGCTCATAATATGCATAAGTAAACCCTTAAACTAATCATTACATGTTTTATTGTGTGCCATGAACATCCAGAGGAGTTTTATTGTTTTGATGAACTTGGTCTTCATGTCATGCTATGCTAACTCATTTGTGAAGACTCAATCACATGTCTTAACCAAGTTACCAGAGCAAGGAGAAAACACGAGTGGCAGCAGCTATGGATCCACACAGGTTTCCAACAGGGGCAAAGTGCAGAGTCTGAATGGGCCAAACAAGTAATTCCGACAGGGATGCTTGTAGCTTCTAATAGCTAACCGGTTGTAAAGTCAATCTCTGTTCTGCTTGTGGATTCGACAGTTTCCTGGGAGTGACTGAGCCAAGTTAGAAAACATTCATTGTAAAGCTCAGTTTGTTTAATATTAAGATGTAACGTGTAGCCTGTATTTTGTAAACAGTCTACACGGTTTTTGTTTATGGTTACTATTATGAGCTGTCATAGCACACGTTTGCCTGACGCATCATGAACAAAACAATAAATAGATAAATAAATAAATGCAAAAGTTATGTTAGCAGTGTTATATAAATCTGTCGAAAATGTATCATATCAGGATGCAACAACAGTGAAAGTTTCATATAGTTGCACCTCTAGTATGTATAGACAGTATTTGACAGACGTCTCTCTCTCACTCATGTGTGTGTGTGTGTGTGTGTGTGTGTGTGTGTGTGTGTATATATATATATATATAAATAAACAAACACACACACATTGATCAGGCATAACATTATGACCACCTCCTTGTTTCTACACTCATCGTCCATTTTATCAGCTCCACTTACTATATAGGTGCACTTTGTAGTTCTACAATTACAGACTGTAGTCCATCTGTTTCTCTGCATACTTTGTTAGCCCCCTTTTACCCTGTTCTTCTGTGGTCAGGACCCCCATGGACCCTCACAGAGCAGGTACTATTTGGGTGGATCATTCTCAGCACTGCAGTAACACTGACATGGTGGTGGTGTGTTTGTCTGTGTTGCACTGGTACGAGTGGATCAGACACAGCAGTGCTGCTGGAGTTTTTAAACACTGTGTCCACTCACTGTCCACTCTATTAGACACTCCTAGCTTGTCAGTCCACCTTGTAGATGTAAAGTCAGAGATGATAGCTCATCTGCTGCTGCACAGTTTGTGTTGGTCATCCTCTGGTCCTTTATCAGTGGTCACAGGACGCTGCCCACAGGATGTTGTTGGCTGGATATTTTTGGTTGGTGAACTATTCTCAGTCCAGCAGTGACACTGAGGGGTTTAAAAACTCCAGCAGCACTGCTGTGTCTGATCCACTCGTACCAGCACAACACACACTAACACACCACCACTACATCAGTGTTACTGCAGTGCTGAGAATGATCCACCACCCAAATAGTACCTGCTCTGTGAGGGTCCATGAGGGTCCTGACCACTGAAGAACAGGGTAAAAGGGGGCTAACAAAGTATGCAGACTACTAAAGTGCACCTATATAGTAAGTGGAGCTGATAAAATGGACAATGAGCGTAGAAACAAGGAGGCGGTAATAATGTTATGCCTGATCGGTGTGTGTATATATATATATATATATATATATATATATATATATATATATATATATATATATATATATATATATATATATATATATATATATACATACATACATACCATATAGTGTCATTTTTTAAACAACGCAGCATACAATTATATGTGCCTAAGCCTATTTCTTATTGTAAGAGAGACCAATAAGAGAATTTAATATATGCATCATCATCATGAAAACTGACAATGAATGAATGTGAATTCATTGAAATGGTCAATGTTATATTTCTTTTAATCGAGTAACCGACTTTGACAATCCCTAAATGCAAGGCATATCGTAATCTCAAATGTAGTGATATAATCTCAATATGGCATTTTGTCTATATTATGCTATTCTTAGCCATCTCGCTCTCCATGTGTGCTCTCCCTCATCAGCCTCTCACACTCAAGATGCTGGGCTGAAGCGTGTCTCATGCTTACTGAGGGCCCCGTTCCCATGATCCGCAATTTTAGCAGCGGCAATCAGGGTATGCTCCATGACGCTGAGCCGTTTGAAGTCTAAACCCCACCACCGCACGTACTATGGCCTTTATGATCATGTGTGTGCTATAAAACTTGCCTGGCCCCAGGAACCAGTCAACTCCCACCAGTCCTGGAGGAGGCTCTGCGCCACACATGTGCACTGAACTCCACTGGGGCGTAATGATGGCCTTCGGACACCGGCGTACAAACACATTTGAGCCAAAGGCCTCAATCAGAGCTGTAAGCAGGAGTCAAAACTAGATATCTTGAATTTGTATAGCAAAGCCAAAAGTTCAGCCGCCTTCTGACTAGTTTTGTCTGCCATAGAGTAACAATTATGATGAAAACCAGCCTCCTCCTTTTTAGTGTGCGTGTGATTACATTACAGTGAATTAGCAGTAATTAGTCTTTGCAGTGATAATGTTTGCTACAGGGGGAATATCAGCATCTGCCAGCTTCACCCTAACCCAAATACACGCATTTCACATGTGACTTTTGTTTTTGTTTACTGTTTAATCCAGCTGCGTTTTGTGTACACAGTACATATGTGTCTATTATAAAGTGGGTCAGCAGGTTTGGGTGTGGATTTTTGAGTGGAATGCATCTGAGTTTGCGCCCCTGTGCTTCCTGCCACTCGAGTGGGCGCGTCTCTGTGTGTGGTGGCCTGGTATCTGGGTCGACCTGTGTGGTTCTGTATGGGTGGCCTAACAACACAGCAACTTACCCATCCTCCCTGCTGTCTGATCCAGGCAGATATGTGTTCCCTGATAAATTGTAATACCCAGCTAATGATCGTCTTGATGATTTCCAAGTGGTTTTGAGTCAGTGCCTGAGGAGAGAAAAGAAAGCAGTTATTCCTGTAGCTTCAGTGTTCTCCACAATTTCCTGTATTATTCTACCAGAGATAAGCATGCTGGAGCAATCATGAGGTCATTTCAAAGCAGTGGTATTTGCACTTAGTTTGAGGAATTTCTCTTAAAGTGCTGTAATGACCTTATTTCATCTTTACTACATCTTTTAAAGGGCCCATACCATGGAAAAATGAGCATTTATCACTTTTTATAAGTAGGAGTTTGATGGAGTATGTAAACATTGATGAAGATTAAAAATCATTTTATTTTCCCAGTCCATATATGGAAATTATATTAAAAAACAGCCCACTTTGAATCGACCGTTCTTGAGTTGTTACAAAAAAACTATTTACTTACTGGTAAAAAAGCCTGTTTGATTCTAAGTAGAGATGTTAATGATTATCCGATTAACCAACAAATAAATAATTGTTCGAGCAACGATGTCCGTTAAAAAAAATGTTAATTTCCTTTTATTCTATTTCCAATAAACAACAGGTTCTATTTGGATAGGTGGATTTATCATTCAAGCTGAGGAACGTTTTAGGCAAATGAAATAGGCAAATAGTTCCGCTAGACAGGCCTACTACAAAATACAGTACTCAACCAAAAACAGTGATGTTCAGGATCGGTTTTTGAGAGGGCGATACATCTACAACAATGTACCAACCATTCACAAGACAGCCATTATGACTATGCATGAGCTGACCGATGGCAGTATTGTTAAACTCAAAACTGAATCAGTACTAATACGTCATCTGGCTTCAGACAATTCAGCACAATGGGCTTTTTAAGCAGACAAAGCCATGCAGCAGCCACACAGTGAACGCCTTCCCTTTTTAATCAAAAGATTAAACAACATTGTTTTGTTTTTATAACTTTGATATAATCATAAGACAAAAATCTATTACTAATAGCATAATAAATAATAATAATAATAATTATAGGCTAAAGTAACAGTAGCTTGAAGGCCACTGTTACTTCACACAGTAAGTTTTAGCTATTTTATTAGTTTAACAACAAGCAATTTATAGACTGCAAACACGTAACTTACTGAACAATACCAAGAACAACCAAACCAAACCAGGAACAAAGTTAGCTTAATGTTTTTGAGCAGAAACACTAACAATGTTTTGTTTCCTCTGGTTTAAGCATGCTTCTCTGTTGTGTTTCCACATTATCTGCCATGCTAAAACGGGTTCTCGGAGATGGGAGCCAGACAGTTATCAGTTAAGAGGATCCTCATACTGTCAGCTTTAGGAGCAGCTGCTCAGTCAGTATTTAAACCCGTTTCTTTTTGTTTTTTTTTTTTCCAGTAACTGATAAAAGCAAGGGGCTGTGATCGGATAATGTTATATTACACTCAATTTCACAACCCTAGTTTCATCCATGTTCTCTGAAGGAAAGTGTGATGCATGGTGGTGTAAGGAGATCAAGAATAACAGAGTAGGACTTGAAAGACGCTGATGGCTTTTGAGAGCTACTGAGATGCACTAAGCCAAGCAAAACCCAGTCGAGAAATGCATGGTTATTTTGGCTAGTTATGAGTGGTATATTTACTTAATTTAATTTAGAACTTTTGAATACATAACTTTCAGTAGCTCATTATACTACAGTCTTTTTAGTTTTTGGTCTTACCAGCATGGAACATTCTTACGTAATACAGGTTTCAAAAATGGAATTATCAGTTTTAAAATTAAATTGTGATGAGTCGGTTCCTTGTTTTCAGGCTCGCTGGTTAACCATTAGGCCTGGGACACACCAAGCTGATATGAAAATTTGTACTCGGACACTGAGAAGACTACAGCTGACGGTATTGTGGTTATTGCGCCTGCACAAATTCTCTGCACCTTCAAAGCTGTCACATACCCATGTTTATACATAACAAATTTATGTTTTCTTGTTGAGAATAATTAAATTTTTTGTTTAAATATCTGATCACAAACTAACAGCAGTCAGTTATTGGTCAAAAAGAGTTCAAATGCATTATGACTGTTACAGCATCATAAGTGAAGCTGTCAAGAAATAAATATTTACAATAAAAATACATGACATGGCCCAAAAAAGTCATTCAATAAAGATTAATGGCCGCACTAGTAGTAACAGCATAACACATTTAACCAATTAATAATCAAATGAAGGAGCATTTCAGGCTGCTTTTCAAACGATACTTTTAACGCACTGTCAGTGGCATCCAAATTCACATCACTTATGTCACAACTCACTGAATAAAAACGAAGCATCTGAGCATCACAAGTCAACAACTTATCAAATATTTAGACACTCAATAATCTAAGTAACACGTAGCAGAAGAGTTTTACCCTGTAAATCAGCTGATAGGCCAGATGAAAGAGAGCCACAATCCGCCCCCAGTTAATGCCGTCTGTAAAGATGCTCCTGGCCACCGTCATGAACACATCCTGAGCACAGTTAGCCTCCACAGTGCTGATGAGACTGTCCAGAAGACAGAGGTGCTTAGCATACAGTCCATTAACATTATATCCTCAGTGAAATCTAAATGAATCTTTGTGTAAAAACACTTATTGAACACTTCAATAATCATTTTACAAAAATCATGTTACATAATTCACATCACATTATAATTAAAAAGTATGAATGAAAGAACTCATTTTATAATAATTACAAGTGAGTTTAGCGACAAATGTAGCAATTTTACCCTGGGTGTGAAAATTCAAGAAAACCAAATTTCTCAACAAATAGAAAATATACCAACAATTCAACAGCAGTATATATTGGAGATGTATAACAAATCCGTAATTCTTACTGTTGAAACTCAGCATTTCGATTCAGATCATCAGCGATCTTAAGAAGCTGCTCTACAACCACTTTTACTTGAGGATTGTCAGATTCCTCAGGTCTTCCACCGAGGTCCTCCGGGCTCACATGCATGGCAGGGTTCTCTGTACTGACCCGCTCCATAACATACCTTCATGTGAAAAAAACACAACAGCCAGGTTAAAGAGGAACAGAGGAACTTATAGCACAGTTAACGAGCATATTCAAATGTGATGCATGTGAACACATGACCATGCAAGAAGGAAATTTCTGTACCCTCTAAATATTAATGCACTTTCCTCTACGATTCTATCATCAATGACATCTGAAACAAAAAAGAGAACAAATTAAGACAGTGAATGACATACACACATCAGCCACTTAGGAACCCCTGCCCTGTAACTCCACATTGCTGCTGTATAGTCAGAGACTGTAGCTCATCTGTTAATGCACTATTTATATTGGTCATCTTCAAGCCAAACGCTCTTGGCTGGATATTTTTGCATGGTGGATCACTCTTAACGTAGCACTGACACAGACAAGTGTAAAACGCGGGGGTTGAGGGATGCGAGGAAGTCACTCAGGCCCCCTAAATCTTTACTGGACCCCCACATAGATACTAACACAAACGTAGACCCAAAATCCAATTTCTTAACAACATGCTTCACCAGTTATCTTCCATCAACACTACAGCACTGACATCTATTTATCTACATCTATTCATAATAAATTTCATGCTTAGTAACTATTTATAAACAGATCCTTCACAACCTGAAACGTGATATATTTATTATTTATAACCTTAAACTTAAAAAGATCAAAATGATTCCATTCAAACATCAAATACGTATTTTATTAAAATCTATTTCACACAGCAAAGGTTCTCAAAATTGGACAGTGGCATATTAGATGGCTAAATATGACATAATTATTACAATCCACTTAAGGTAACATTAGACGCTAGTGGGTGGAGTGTCCTGCCTTGAGAGCATCAACTTGTTAGATAGATAACAGCAGCAAATATTAAACAAAAGTATTATTTTCATATGGGGGGGCGGGGTAGGCCTGTCACGATCATAAACTTTTAGCTAACAAATAACTGCCATACAAGTAATCACAATTAACAATTGTCTTTTTTGTTTAGTTAATTAATATTATTAAAGTCTAAAGTGGCCAAACCACCTGATTAGCGATCTTGCTTCATAGCTGTTGATACCTGACAGCTCCCAACTGAAAACAGAAACAGTTTGAGCTCATATAAACAGACATATGCATCCTTCAATCACGTCATACCACCAAGTTGGAAGTTTGAACTGTTGTTGTTTTCATACGACCTCAAATCTACGGGGTGAAAACGCACCCAGTTCACATTTTGTTTATCATGCCATAAACTTTTGTTGTTTAACAACTGTGGAAAGTAATTTTGATCAGCTCAAATATCTGCAGCCAGGCAGTTGTGTAGTAGCTAACTGTGACAGTTATGGTAGGGTGTTTTTTTGCACTGGGGCTGTAAGATCCTGGCTTCATTACTATGATATGTAATTTTATATTTATATAGTGGGCCTAAAATGTAGATCTGGCTAGTGAGTGGAAGTACAAAGTATATTCTGATAAATAGGGCCTAGACAATGACTGAAGGCAATTTGACATGTCATATAATGCTATATTCCATTCTCTGTCTATGACCTACTCTCTATTCTCTTTGTAGCCGTAATCTCAGCCCTGTGGTTATCTCTGAAATCTTTCTTTTGTCTTTTCTTCTTTTAAAAAAACAACCCTCGCCAGGTCTGAGAGTCTGAGTGAGAGCAGGTAGAGCTAGACAGATAAACGTCTCTGTGTGACGTCAGAGGAAATTCCTAAAGGGTGTTTGTCATTCATTGGAGTCGTCTGGTCCAAACTTCACACATTTAGCTATTCACTCTGAAATCGTGCTCGAATCGCTGAAATGTCTCGTCAGAAACGACACGGTCTCTTTGGCTCTGACACCGAGAAGGTCAGGCCAACTCCTCGGTCCTTCCAGTCGATGACGTCAGAGCTCCCGTCGACTGGCTAAGTGGAGGAAAACAGAAGCTGAAAGTCAGTTCGGTTTGTGTCTTACCTTCCCCGCCGGTGGCCCCCAGCAGCTCACCGTCATCCGTCCTCTCATTTTCGTTAGATTCTGCCATTGTAAAGGCTAAAGTGAAGTTTAAGAAGAGCGCGCGGCTCTACTTTAAGCTAGCTAACGCGCTAGCCGCCCAGCCGGAGTTACCAGCTCTGACGGAACTTTGCTTCGCTCACTTCGGACCTGTTTGACGGAGTTTGGGCTGCTGACAAACTCGCGAAGAAACAAAGTGGTTCAAACTGCTGCGGCTACATGCGTCCTTCCTTTCAGTTCGCCATGAGAGAGTCTGAAAGATAAAGCGAAAGTCAAAGTATACGCTTGAAGAGACTAGCTAAGCCCAGAACCATGAACTCGCCTCGAGGAAGTAGCCGCGCGGCGCCGAGTCTGCGCCTGCGCAGGTGGGCCGAGAGCGAAGGGAGATAGCTGCTGATAAGGCTGCGTTTACACTGATAACATCAATCCGATTGATTTAGATATTGAAGTAGGACTGCTGTTCTGAATTGAAGTGTAAACTGCAAAAACAGAGAAAAAAAAACATGGAATCTGATTTTTTTTACAAATTCTAATCCAACCCAAACACTGATTTGGTACCGTTAATGCGATTCAAATGGAATTTTAAAGCTTGTGGCACCAGAAATGTGTGCCCACAAATGAACTAATTAAGACTTATTTTAAATAAGTAATAAAGTAAGGCAAGACAAATAATACATGTAAAATTTAAAATTAATAATAAAATAAATAATTATTTGATTAGTTTGTTGCGATTGATTGATTGATTGTCTACTAGCAACCACTGCGTGCACATGTGCAAAATTCCCCGCAGAATTCAAATTTCTAGATTTTAATTTCTAAATTTAAAGCGTTTTTTTTCCCCTTAAGCGATCAGATCCCTCCGCAGTAAACACCCACGTTACTATAGCAACCAATGTAGCCATAAAACCAGAGACAATACATGACGCCGAGAGTCGCCATGTCAAAATATCTCCGGGAACGCAGTCACGTGGTTTTGGTGAGCGGGAGGGGGAAATCCTCTCTCCCTTCAGCAGAAACTCGAGCCTCATTCACGCCAGCGGGGAATTCTTCCCATTTCGCCACAATTTAAAGATTATTTCCTCCGCCTTTGAGATTACAGCGAGGCTGTGGTCATCTGTGTGATTGTGAGGGTCTTGTGAGTATTTTGAGCCTAAGTCGGCATTTTCCGATGAGCTGATTTAAAGAAAAATCTGTTTTGTGTTGGGTTTGTTCAGCCGCTGCCCAGTCCTTCTGCACAGGCTGCTGCTGTTGCCCCTTGTTGGTCCTCCTGGTAGATGTAAACCCAGAAACAGGAGCATCTGCTGCTGGACAGTTTGTGTTGGTCATCCTCTAGTCCTTCATCAGTGGTCACAGGACGCTGCCCACAGGACACTGTTGGCTGGATATTTTTGGTTTGTGGGCTATTCTCAGCCCAGCAGTGATACTGCTGTGTCTGATCCACTCGTACCAGCACAACACACACTAACACACCACCACCATGTCAGTGTTACTGCAGTGCTGAGAATGACGCGCCACCCTCTGTGGGGGTCCTGACCACTGAAGGACAGGGCGAAAGGGGACTAACAAAGTATACAGATGGACTACAGTCTGTAATTGTGGAACCACATTGTGCTCCTATATGGAAAATGGAGCTGATAAAATGGACATTAAATGCAGATACATGGTGGTTTTAATGTTATGGCTGATATATATATATATATATATATATATATATATATATATATATATATATATATATATATATATATGCTACGGTATGATTAATACCACTGAGCAAAAGTCTTAAGCAAAATCATATTTAAAAGCTGTTTAACAAGGCAGTAACAATCCATGCAATGGCCGGAGCATGTATTTGCATATATGAGCTTAAAATGATGCTTGTAAATGTTTTATTTCAATTTTGTAATTATTTACTGTATATTACAGCCTAGTTAGTTTATTCGATACATGTATCATAGTTTGATAGTTAATTTCTGGCTTTCTCTGCATTTGAAACATATTCAGTTTGGAACATCTTTAATTGTAGTGAATTCATGTATTCCTTTTTCCTGGAGGATGGTCCAAAATCATTTTCCACCAGCAGATGTCGCTGTTGGTTCACAGAGCTGGAAAACAGAGCTATGAGGAGGCATGGAACCAGAATGTCATTAGTAAAATACTTAAAATACTAAAATACAGTAATAATACTATTACAAACTGAAAGAATTAAAACTGTAATGTATTTTTTTCCCTTCAGACATGGCTCTCCTAGTTTAAAAGCAATTGGATCTGCTTTAAAGGGGAACTCCACAAATTTTTCAAAATTTCATCATAATGTAATGGTTAAGATGTTGTAGAGAAACTTACAGAGTCGTAATTGTTCTCAGTGATGGTGATAGGAACCAGACGTCTAAAGAGTTGAGTGCCTTTAAAAGCTCTCTCACTTAAAGTTATCACATGCAGTTATGAATATGCTGCCTGATGCCTGAGACATTGTGAGATGTAAGAGATACATTATGGGCATTATAAAGCAAAATAGTACCAAAAAAAAACATTTTTTGCATTTAATATTATTTTACCATCATCAACGTTACATATAATATCTCAGAAGACATATGTTCTTCAGTAGTGGTTTTGGATAGTAAATAAAATGACTATATTTGAGTTGGAGACATTGCAACCCTTGGCTCCCATCACCACCACAGAGTAGGTAAGTTCCTACAATGATTGCATCTCAACATATGAGTTATGCTGAAATTTTAAATGAAGAGTGGAATTCCCCTTTAAGTAAACATATCACATATCAAGTCCTCGTAGTCATGCTGAAGCACTGTAATACTGTACAACAGATTGTTTTGTCACAGTATCACCTGGACTGTGTACTTCTCACAGTATGGGCTCCTGTGCTATTGACACACATTCATTAAACAGTCCCAACCCTTAAACCCTCATACCGTATCCTTAAACGCAGCCTGTGGCTGACCGGCCTAACTGGTTATGCGGTAACTCAGCCAAGCCCAGTGGGCCGCAAGGAGACATGTGGATAGGGCTGCGGCCAGTGTGCTCACTGCTAGCCTGGAAATCACAGTGAGACCTGTAAGACATGTTAAGCTACTACACTTCCACTAGAGCGTGACCAAGATGAGAGGAGGAAAGTCATGTTGTTACAGTTGTTGCTGTAGCACATTGTTATAGTCATTTCATTCAATTAACTGTGCTCAACTTTGCATTATGTTACACGGAGGGCCAGTTTCCTTTCATTACACAGCCAGACTGAGATTAAGCATGAAATGCCTGCTGAGCAAGAAATGATTCCTGAAAACAGATTAGGTCAAGTCATTCCTTGATAATGGAGAATCACAATTGAAAGGCCAGTATTTATGTTTGTCATATATGGTTACATTTATGCAGTTGCATTTGTCTGTGCATCTTTGGCATAGAGTGAAGGAAAACAAGTATTAAGACTAGAGCTGGACAATATGTTACATTATAGGGATACATTATATTATACACCGATCAGGCATAACATTATGACCACCTCCTTGTTTCTACGCTCATTGTCCATTTTATCAGCTCCACTTACTATATAGGTGCACTTTGTAGTTCTACAACTACAGACTGGAGTCCATCTGTTTCTCTGCATACTTTATTAGCCCCCTTTTACCCTGTTCTTCAGTGGTCAGGACCCCCATGGACCCTCACAGAGCAGGTACTATTTGGGTGGTGGATCATTCTCAGCACTGCAGTAACACTGATGTAGTGGTGGTGTGTTAGTGTGAGTCTGAGTGGATCAGACACAGCAGTGCTGCTGGAGTTTTTAAACACTGTGTCCACTCACTGTCCACTCTATTAGACACTCCTAGCTTGTCAGTCCACCTTGTAGATGTAAAGTCAGAGCCGATAGCTCATCTGCTGCTGCACAGTTTGTGTTGGTCATCCTCTAGTCCTTCATCAGTGGTCACAGGACACTGCCCACAGGATGCTGTTGGCTGGTTATTCTTGGTTGGTGAACTATTCTCAGTCCAGCAGTGACATTGAGGTATCCATAAACATAAATAAGGATATGTTTAAAAAAAACAAAAGTGGTGGGGAAAAGAGTAATTAGACACCACAAATTAATAATGTTAGTACTTTGCTGCAAAGCCGTTAGCAATTACAGCTTCAAGATATCTACCATAAAAAGTGATCACAGTAAGAAGTGATTTTTAGTATTGTGGTTCAGTTTTGTCCCATTCCTCTTGGTAAATAGTTCCCTAAAGGTTATAAGGGTCTCTCAGATGGACTCTAAATGCTCTATACATTTTCAAAGCGATTCAAGTCAAGAGGCCATGCAAGCAACATTACTTCTGTCATAGAGCAGTCTTGAGTTAGTTTGGCTTTATATTTGAGGTCATTGTCTTGTTGAAATTGCAGAGAAGCAGCACAGTGTCTTGAAGCTCCCACCATCATGCTTCACTGTGGCTGTGGTGTTCTTAGAATCATACGCACAACTCATCTTTCTCCAAATATGATGAGCTGGATTTTTGCCAAAGAGTTCTATTTTTGTTTAGTCAGAAAAGAGCACTTTGTTTCAAAAGAATTCTGATTTGTCTAAATGCAAATTTTAGATGCTCATCTCTGTGCTTTTCTTTAGCAGAGGAGTTGCTTGTGGGGAGAAACAGAGATGATTGAGGTGCAGTTCAATGCAGTTATTGTTGTTCTTGATGTAACTATTGCTCCTGCTGCTTTCAGGTTATCACGCAACTCTCGCTAAGTGACTGCTGTCTCTTACGTTCCTTATCATTACTCTGAGAGCACGTTGTGAAATCTTGCTCCTGTCCAGGGAGGATTAATTGTGTTTCCATGGACTTTTCTCTTCATTTCACTTTTCAGTTCATATTATCAAACTAAACATACTGACAGGGATGTTTAAGGTCTTTGCAAAGACTCTGTAGCGACCTCCATTAGAGTGTGGTTAAATAATGTTGTCCTTGGAAACTTTCGGAAGCCTCTTCCAGTGAATGTTAGTTGTTGTATGAAACCTTTCCAACAAATTGTGATGTCTTCATTACGATGCCAGATGCAAGTTGCATTAGAACATTTTTATTTTTACAGCATAAATATGTAGAACATTTGGTGAATAAAAATTGACCCTGATTACAAAGTGCAGGGCTTTTAAAAAAAAACAGGCCAAAAAGTTGGCTCATTGCAGTCTACATTAAAACTATTTGGGGTTGTCACAACGTATGTGGTTGGTTTAGCGTAGTGGGTAACACCTCTGCCTTCTAAGCTGTAGACTAGGGTTCAATCCCCCACCTGGACAAGCACCCCACACTATACCAATAAGAGTCCTTGGGCAAGACTCCAAACACTACCTTTGCCTACC